TATTATAAGATAATCTTTACCTTCAAAGAGGCAATCTAGCACCTAAATGTTCACATCTGTTACAACTATTATTTCAACTTAGGTACAAAGTTGTCTAAACACTAGTCTACTAGAAAGAAAATTAAGAAAAAATAAAAACTCATCGATAATTCTAACTATCTCATAGTTTGGTCCTTATGGTTAAGCAGAAATGAAACTGCTTTCCAATATAGGAAGTTAAATGAGGATAGGCTATTTGAACTAGTTCAAGCACGCTCATTTGACTGGGTTAGAAATCTGTTGAATTTGGAAAATTTCTCCTACATGAAATGGATTTCTAATCCAGTGAGATGCTTGACAAACAGGATATAGAGTCTTAATGGGAGTATTTGTTTTTTGGGTCTGTTTTTTGGACTGTTGGGTGACTTTGTTTTGAACACTTTATCTACATGTAATTTCATGTACTGATATTTAAGGGTTTGAGTACCCCTTGTACTCATAATAAAATTCATTCGCTTTTCAAAAAAAAAAAAATTCTAACTATCTCTTGTACCTTAGGGGTTAATTACACTATTACAGCAGACTCGATACTGTATTAGCTTAACATAATAGGGATTAGAACCTATCCCCCATCCTCCCACATTGTGGTAACTATATCCATTCCAAAGAAAAATATGAGCAAACATACTAAATCAATCCTCTGTGTTTGGGTACAATATGAACCTTAAATACTTACAAAAACATCTTTCAGTTTCGACACCTCCATATGCATGCATGGTCCTTTACAAAGAAAAATGTGCCATGAATTTCTTACATACCACGTTCAATTGAGCCTCAAATTCTAGACGCACTTCGAAACTAGATCTATCTTCACACAGAGCTTCACATAGGATTTTAATTAATCCCGACCAAAAAAACCAATTACCACCACCCTAACCATCCTCTATGAAACAAGCAACCCCAAACCAACAAAGTTTCCACATACCCAACTTGCATCAAGTTTAGTGTCCTCAGACACCACTCAAACTCCTTGTCACAAGCCACTGCCATCAACCCCTCACTCCTCTACTCAGTTGATGAAAGTATGAAAATGTATATTTAAAGTGTGTTTAACCATTGACATTTGTGGAATTATGAGTTTAAAAATTGTATTTTTTTACAAGTAATTTCATGAGTTTTCATTCTATTCATGTTGTGTAAATTTTTGTTCACCTTCTACGCTGGGATATCAAACCTCCACTGGAAACAACACAGGAAGGATAGAAAACAACCAATGAAATCCCCATAGCCTTTGTCGGAGGGTTGATCATGCACCCACGATTTCTACCACATTCTAAAACCCTAGCAATCTAGGTTTGTTTGAACCTAGATTTGGTATGAGGGAACCCAACAACATAGGTTCAAGGAACCCAAATATCTGGGTTTTTTCTTTTTATTTGGTGGAGAGAATTCTTGGGTTTTCAAACCCATATTTATAGATAATTTTTAACAACAACTAGCAACTATTGAAGTTGTGGAATGGAAATTTAGTAATTTTGTTTATGTGTTTTGGTTTGGTTGTTTCCGTTGTGATCATTAAACTTAAAAGTTGAAGTAGTATGAATTTTCAAAGTTTTGGTTTAGTTTTATTACATAGTGATGGCTAGTGTCTGAGAAAAACTTTTGAAGAAGAAGAGAGAACTTTAATTAGATCCAGGTTTTGGTTTTGGTTGTCACATCAAAAGATTATCTTTTTTTTTTTGTTTAGTACAAGTTTAACTAAAGTTAAATTATAATTAATAATTTAATTATATAAGTTAATGGAGGTGTTTTTTTCCAACCTGGGGGTAGGTCCATTAGCAAATTTGGTAAAGTTTTAGTTCACATAAGTATAGGTTTTAGTTTTAGTGCAGGTAAATATTTTTTCCTAGTTTGTTTTTTTGATCAACCATTTTTTCTTAGTTGTATTTTTTGTGTAATTATAATAAATAAAAAAAAGCCTTGTGGACTAAGTTAAGGAACCTAAGTGACGAAAAAAATAAAATTATATAAATTTTAAAATTAAGGGATTAAAAAATATATATATAAATTGAGAGAGACGATTTACTTTCAAGTTGGGTCTAATTATAATTTATTTTAATGGCTAGCTGTTTATTATTGGCCTTGATAAAAAAGAAAAAAAAAAAAGGGTTTCCGATTGAGATAACGGTGGATCTATGTCCCCACGATACTTTTTTAGGTTTTAGGTACACGTGTAAAATGATTTTTTTATTGTTTACTTTAATTAGATTTTGACAACCCACATGCAACCCACATGCAGTGGCTCATAGATGGTCTTTTTTTTTTTTTTCAAAAATGAGATTGAATGATTGCTACGGTAAGTATGGCTTGTTCAATATTAAGTGTGGAGGTAAATTTTGTTACGGGTGGGTGATGGCCTTAATTACACAAGAAAGGCCTGGACCCAGTGGAATGTATACAAACACACATGTACCAAGCGCTTTCCTTTTTTTTTTGGTTTTGTGGTAAGAAAGGAATACCAAGTGGTGTACGTTGATGATGCTGAAATTGAAGAAGTGGTTGGTGATCAATGTGAAAGAGACATTAATGAAGCAGATGTAGAAAACAATGAAGATATTTTAGATTCCCCTTAGCCAAGTCCAATTGAAGATGAAAAACACGAGGAAGCTAGAAAAAGGGTCAAGAAATTTCAACAGCAAACTAAAATCAATGAAGGAGAAGGTCGAGCTTAAGGTGTTCCTATTGGACCTAATGAGGCAGATCAAGAAGATATATCAAAAGCTGCAAGTGGAGATAATGAGGTTGATGATGGTGCAAATAAGCTCAAACGATGAGGTTAGTTATGTTTCATCCGATGAAGAAGAAGATGCTGAACATGCCCAAAGGAGGGCCAGGCATAGAGTACATGTGCCTTCTGGCAATCCTGAATTTGAGGTTGATGTGATTTTCCTTAACAGGGACCAGTTTAAGAAATTGCAAAAAGATGCCAAAAACCAGGCACGGATTGAGTGTCCATACTATATTTGTTGTGTCGACACTATGTGTTTAAACTTTGGGCAGTGAATGTTGTGTGGTGACGTTGGAAGCAGAATGATCAACACCTACAGTGTGATTCTGATGTTGACACTTTAAGCAGCTTTTAATTTCCGTAAATATTCATTGAGGCCATTATTGCCACACTAGGGCCTATTGTCGCCCACGACGTTATACGTGGGTCAATGGAAGGATGATGTTGGCTTTTTTTTCTTTTCTTTTGGTAAAGTTGAGGAATTATCGTATAGAGAGATAATTATGACTCCTTTTGCATGATGCACAAGCATACGAATTTTTAGTAACCGTAAATCTATCATAAAATTAGTGTACTTTTGGTGGGCATTTTGAATTTTATTTTCCTGAACAGCCTGGTGGACATTTTCATGAATTGACACTTCCGATAAAAATTGATAAATCACCATATTTTTTTAGATTCAAGGTCATTTTTGTCTATATGATGAATTTTAGTGATTATTGAAAAAATTTTAAATATTTTTCATACAAGCAAATTTTAGTAATTTTAAAAATTTTTAAATATTTTAAACCTTTGGACATTTTTGTTCATATTCATATATTATGAAAATTATCTCTTCTAACATTGCTTATTTTTATATTAAATATGAAATAAATTTTATATCTAATCTAATAAAATTCCAAATATGAAATATGATTTTTATTGCCTTTCCCAATCTAATCCCATCTCATCCTATCATTTTCATCGTATTCAATTCTATCCCAACTTGTCTTTTATATGTGCCCTTAGATTTCTTTTGGTAGGTGTAACGGCTACACAGTGCAAGAGAAAATATAGAAAATGACTGTTTTATTGCTAACAATCTCACTGCACAAAGCACGAGAAGGTACAAGAAACAAATGCATGCCGACAATAAATAGAAGCTGATCAAATGGTACACTGCCACATATTCTATACATCAACAAATGACGAGGAAAAGGTATTAATTTATGGAAATAATTAAAACTCAAACAGAACTACAACACCCACTAAACTCCAATCTCACTTCTTGATCCACCTAATTTCCCACAAGAATAAATTAAGAGCATGTGTAAGATGGGCCACCAGAGAAGTGGAAGCAATCTGGCCTGGATCACCTAAATTATAGTTCTCACATGAATTCCTGGGACCCTTATTCCATGAACCAGAATTATAAGAAACTTTACGCCCAATTACTCCCTTCTTGGAGCCTTCTTTTATTCCGTTGTTGAAACTAAGACCTGAAAGTTAATACAACCAATGAGAAATAGTTGACAAGTTTGGATCAAACATGCCTGTATTATGTTAATTTGGACCAAAAATAAAAAAGTATAATGTAATGCTAAACTTTAATTTGAAACTTTACTTACAAGAAAGCAGCAGTTTTAAGCCTAGTAGGGTGGCGGGGGAGACTTGTAGTAGTATGGTGGTGGAGAGGGCGATGGTGGAGGTGGCGATTTGTAGTAGTAAGGTGGTGGTGGAGAAGGCGATGGTGGAGGTGGCGATTGGTAGTGGTAAGGTGGTGGTGGAGAGGGCGATGGTGGAGGTGGCGATTTGTAGTAGTAAGGTGGTGGAGGAGAATGTACTGGTGGTGGGGGAGACTTGTAGGAATAGGGAGGTGGTGGCGGGGATTTGTAATAGTATGGTGGAAGAGGAGATGGCGACGGTGGAGGAGGAGATTTGTAGTAGTAGGGCGGTGGGGGAGAATGTACTGGTGGTGGGGGTGACTTGTAGTAGTAAGGAGGTGGCGGGGATTTGTAATAGTATGGTGGAAGAGGAGATGGCGACGGTGGAGGAGGAGATTTGTAGTAGTAGGGTGGTGGAGGAGAGTATTCCGGTGGTGGAGGGGATTTGTAATAGTAGGGTGGAGGAGGGGAGTGTACTGGTGGTGGGGGAGACTTGTAGTAATAGGGAGGTGGTGGCGGGGATTTGTAATAGTATGGTGGAAGAGGAGATGGCGACGGTGGGGGGGGAGACTTGTAGTAATAGGGAGGTGGCGGCGGGGATTTGTAATAGTATGGTGGAAGAGGAGATGGCGACGGTGGGGGGGGAGACTTGTAGT